TCTGTTCATCCCGTGGGTATCGTAAGAGCCGACTAAGAAAGCAAGCCATGCAGGACAACAGCACTGCAAAGACAAGGAAAATTTTACACAAACCAAATACCAACCCGTCTGGCAAGCGTGGTATAGTAGGCCAAAACCTCTTTTCTAAAGAGAGGCCTATGTCCATGTCGACTATTAAAGGCTTTTGATATAGTGGTGATGAACATCAACTGACAATCAAATAATATAATTATCTAAAATGACAAAATGACCTACATATTTTGTTGAAATGTTCTTTTAAATGAGGCAAGAATACACTCAAATTTGTGGAGTTATACTTCCTTTTAATATTCCTGATCTGGATTCCAAAACAAAACTAGATACTTAAATATTTACCTTAAAATCAGAAACCTTAAGAATTGAAATTAGCCATCTTAACCTAATGGTAATATTAGCATTTATAAAGTAGTAGCTGCACCCTGTCGGGCTCCGCTGTGGCACATTTTGGTTGAAAAAATAAATATAAACCATGTTTGAAGTATGTTGTATATCGTGTTAAAATTTGAACTTAATCGGTGCGGAACTTTCAGAGTTTTTGAAGCGTACACAAACGGTTAATGAACATTTGCCGCCTTCCGTATGGGTAATTTGTTCCTAATATACAAGACGTTTAATGAACAAACTTTGGAAGTCAACCTCACTTTGTGATCTCTGATGTGAACTTGATTACCAGCGCCTGATAAGGACTGTACACATTAGGGGCTGTGAGCTCGTTAGTGGCAACTCGATGGCAGTGACAGCAATTTAATTTACACTAATGAACGAAGATCTGTTAAAAAAATTGGTTTTAAAATTAAGTGTGTCAAGTAATGTTTACATAAAAAAAAAGGTTGAGGAGGCAAACAAGTAGAAGGGTAGACGGGACACCTGATGGAGAGTGACTACCGTCGCCCATGAACGTCTGCAACTCAGGAGTCACAAGCGCGTTGCCGGCCTCTCAAGTAGGAGTACGCTCTTTTATTGCAGGTTTGAAAGTCGTATCGGTCCGGAAATACCGCAAACAATTTTTTTTTTTTTAAATTAAGTGTTTAATAGTCCTAAAAGTTTTTAATTTATTTATTACCTACCTATAAAAAAGAATAGTCTTTATTTTCACATTATTTTATTGACATTCATTTCTGGGTATTATTAACGGGCGTTGTATGGGAATTACAATTGGATAACTTTAGAGACTTAACCTGAGGTGCTAAAAACTTAGAGTTAATGAAATGTCGCAATTTCATCAAACTCCATCGGACGTATATCATTTATGAATGTGAATTCCCATTTAGGTGTCGAATGTTTTAGCCAAAGAAGTTCATAAGGTAACACACCTAAGTACATTAGGAGTAAAATATCCTTAATCAGCTTACCAACACAACATTATGATGCACTTAAAGACAGGACACCGTAAGTTTTTTTTGTTTTAGTTCCAAGTATACTGTTGTTGAGAAATAGTAAAGGCAAATTTAACCAATACATGTGAAACACAGCTTAGTTTTAGATTTAGACGTCCAGATTTTAACATTGTAAATTTTAAAACAAATCGTTGGTTTTGCCAGAAATGTGGGTAGTCGTACGTCGGATTTATAGATTTGAGATTCTGCTTTCTCTGTCTGTCTTTTGCCTTTTTTATTTATAAAGATTATATAAATTCCGAGTTGTTTTGTAAGTCAGTAAGTGATCATGCGATCCTAAGAGATTAGGCAGGTGACCGGCTATAAAAGAATCCAGGCAAAACCAATCTCAAATATTATTAGGAAAAAGAAGGCAAGATGAAGATATAGTTATGAAAACATTTTAATTTAATTGTGAACACACCCAAAGCTAACTGATGAAGATTAAAATACGAACAAAAACTGAATCACTAAATTGAACAATCAAGTACACAAATGAGAAAATATAAAAAATCAGTTAATATTAACTCTTTAAAACGAATGAGTTAAAAGGCAAACATACACACCGAGAATATTGGAAACGTTCAGCAAATGCCATTAGATTGCAAACGTAATATTCTGCTGAGTTCAGCTATCGATTTAAACTCCCTCTTGACAACACAGTCCCTGTACACTTGCGGCCGTAAAATCATTTTTTTTGTTTCCATAACAATCATGTTTACTAATATGTAAATATAATTGAATCGATAAATATTTTTAGCACCTATTTTAAATTTATTTATATTTATTTATGTCGTGATTTCATCAGATTCCATCAGACGTCCTTAATCCTATTTTTTCATTATTTTTTTTAAGATTATAATTATTTTAGACGTAATGAGTTCACGAGATTAAGATTGACTCTGTTTTTGATTCAGTTTTCGTTTATTTTGTACCATTGATAATTTTGCAGTTACCTATATTCCTTGATTTATTGCTCGCAATTGTCATTTTATAAATTAATGAAAGAAAGTTTATTAAATAGTAATAACACATTGCCTAAAATAAATATTTAAAGTGAATTATGTACAATTAGTCAATATTACAGGTGGTGGAAATGTTCCGTTTTAGACTCTGAAGCGATTTTGTTATCTTAAAATTATATCCACTATTGCCATTTAATCAAGTCGGCGAGAGTATATAGCTCATTCTCTATATATTTTTTGTGACAAAAAATTTAAAATACGACCGCCATTTATTTTATCCGAACAATATTTTTAAATAAAACTGTATATTTGATGAATAACTTTGAATTTCATATATCCTCAATATCAAGTTAAATGTTCAAATTAAATTTGTTCTGTATTGTTAATCTCATGATTCTATCACATTAGACGAGAGCAATGGTGTATATAAATTAACGTATACACCTAAGGACACAAAAACGAATTATCTGTCATAAATATTATGTACACTTTTAGTTTAAAATAATACCTTATTATTTCCGTAATACGGTTGCTTTTACAATGACACATACTTTTCTAATTTTACTAAGTAATGTAACTGTCAACGAAAATAATACTCTACACAAAGATAATAAGATTTGAAATCTCAATTACGATTCACGTCCCAAGAATAACTTTGAAATGATGCATATTCATATGTATAGAATCTATAACACCCATTTATCAGAGCTAATGTGTCTAACGCGGCTTCTGATGATTTAATCAGTATATTTGTCTGCTCAAAACTAAATAAGATTTTAATAAATTTCATTTGCTTCAACACTGTTTTGTTTGTACTATGTACTGGCTGAAAATATAAGACATTAAAATGATTATTAATGTGAGAATGTATGATAATTTAAAGGCACCTTTTCGTATGCTGAATGTCATTATAATGAAAGTTTTATCAGCCGTTGGCTCTTTTAAAATGAAAGGCATTGATGACACAAAAATGATATCAAGCCTCGAGAATCAATAAAACCTTCACCCTTTTAAGTGATCCTCAAACGTGTTTTCTCCTATTGCACTTCTTATAGTTTTCTTTCTCCATAGCTAAGGTGCTAATGCAGCTTTTTCATTTAAGGTTTCTCATTTTGACAAATTCGCGTTCTGATTTTGACAAGTTCGCGTAGATTTCTCTCTCGTTAATGATAAAACTTGTAAATTTTATACAATATTTCCTAAAATATTTTGTAACTTTTTATAACTATGAACATAGGTAGAACATAGGTAGATAATACTTTATTTGTACACCAAGGTTTTATAGGCATTATAAAGTAATTGACAACAGATGTTATGTACAAAGGGCGACCTTATCGCTTAGAGCAATTTTTCCAGGCAACCTTCCGAGCAATGTATGATCATATTTTTATATATCTAAACACACAAGTATTGTAAAACTGCTTTGCAATCTATATAGAATGAAAAAAACGCAGTCTTGTTCACTGCCCCTTAAAGTTAATAAAAAATCGAAAAAAAAAAACAATTAATTTGTATTACTCTAAACATCCCTAATTGATGAAACGTTAGACAAACAGAATGAATTTTAGGTCAGAGTGAAAAAAAATAAAAAGCAATCGATAATATCTGTGTTAACGTCGGTATTACCATTTTATGTACAAATATAAAGCCTACCTTCATCATTGATTTAAGATAACTTGTTTGATTATTGTGACGTATAAGATTAAGTTTATTTTCGATGTGTTTACGGTTATATCAACATAATATCGAAAATATTTACAATTTTTTTTATTTTTTGTTTTAATTGTTAGCCAAAATACAATAGGCATTTCATTGGTACAACATACTGAACAAGTTTAAACATAGCCAAATGCATTTTTTTCGAGTATTCAAAATTGTAGTAAATTCACAAAAACCCTAATGTATTTTAGTGAAAAACCACACTAACAATTCGTATAGCCTTACATCGCAATGGTAATAAAAAGTATAAAAAATATCCTAAACTTTTACTTTTTCTGAAACGATTCCTAGAATTTTAACGGCCGCGAGTGTAAAACTCAAAACAATTTAGACGAAATTGTTTCGGCTTAATACTATACGAAGAGGAAGTTGTGTTCAGGGAATTTTAAAGTCGCAAAGGCATTTAGAAGTAAAATTTAAAACATTTTAAATGATTCCCTATAGCTTTTAGATACTGTATTGTTTTGTTGCAGAATTACAAAATATATGTATTTTGAAGTATAAACAATGTGTTGAAGGTAATCCCAAATCCGGCGCCTGGGCTTGTTACCGCTATTTTGCACGTAACTGAAATTGAATGGGGTCTTTCCTTTAAATTCCTTGTAAATCGTACTTTTAATTCTTGTTAAAAGTTTTTGTACGAGGCTGTTGTAAAAATCGTGTAGTAGAGAAACCGGGAGAGAGTCTTGTTATGAATATATTACGCCCTAGCACTTCATTTTGCGTAACCATTTCCATAAACGCTATACTCGTATTAGAATAAAAACTTTTGTTCGATATTTGAATCATTAACGAACGTCATTAGTGAACGTTTTATCATAGACAATGATGATGAAAATTATTTAGATATATCTGAGGTTAATTTATTGATGTTTTACATATAATATTTTTTTTTTTACAGTGCTGCGGCAGGCGTTCAGCATGTTCGACTCAGAGAAAGAGGGTAAAATTGAAAAGGAGAAGGTCCGCACAATATTAAGCACAATGATACACAACTACGATGACCTTGAGCTGGATCACCTATGCGACAGCGAAGACGCTGAAGGTGAGCAGGTCCTAGTGACACTCATAACAAAATAACTAGAAATTTGCGACGCTTTGTCATCATGCATCAACAGTCTTTAGCCAGTCCACTGCCGGACATAGGACATAGAAAGGAGGTTTTGGCCTACTATACCACGCTGGTCAGACATGTTGGTATAGATTTAGTTTCAAGTTTTTCTTCTCTTTGAAGTACTGTTTTCCTGCGTAATTTGGTCACTTAGTCGGCTCTAACGACAACTACGGGATGAATTTGTTCGTTTTTATTTTTATATTTTGATGCGCCTGTTGATCTAGTGGTTAGTGACCTAGTAGCCTGACCGCTAAGCCAGAGCCAGGCAGGACAAAAAAATCGTGTGATGAGCAGGATCGTTTGTTCTATGTTCGTGTGTAATTTATCAATTACATGTATGTATTTAGAAATATGTAAGTACTAGCTTTTGCCCGCGTTTATTTCATGTATATACGAGTATATAGTGTGTTATTAGCCTAATAATTTTATGCATATATATATATATGCTAAAATCATTGATAATCGCACCAAATAAAGTGTCAGTGGAACCATCAATAAATGACGGTCATTAATCAACATTTAAAATATCTCAATTGTCAAGGACTTCTTCAGACAAACAATCAATCCTTATATTGCTATCACTGAAATACAGGTATTTAAAACCAAACCCAGATTTTATTCAACAACAATTATGTGATCAAAAGCATTTGAAAGAAAATTATATATGTATAGTAAATACTAAAAGACTAAAGGCACTGGAGGTTAATACAATGATCTCTGGTATTGTCTTCAAATACCACCAAGCATTGAAGCAGCTAGCCACATTAAATGGGGTACTCCTCCAATGGATTAAAGGGCACAGTAAGACGCAGCAGGTGAGTTGGCAAGGAGGGATTGACAACCCAGACAAAGGAGTCGTGAAGCATACAACCGGAGGTGGAAAAACTCACCAGGCTGCAGACAGTGCTGATTGAAGACACATCACGACTCACCTACAGACTGATCAGTTTTAGCAGACTAGTCATTTGAATATTTGTACGAACTATAACAGGACATCTAGGCCTGAACCAACAACTATTCACCAATAATGCGACAGACCGCCCTTTTTGCAAGGGATGTCTAAAATCAGAAGAAACGGCCTCCCACGTAATCCTGGAATGCGAGGGAGTGGCCACACGACGGCCAAGTATCTCACCTGATACATGCTCCAAGAGGCTTCTGCGCTTCTGGAAGGAGCTTGGTTGGCTCAGCTAGCACACCTTACCTCGACGTATAAAGGACCATTCTTTATACGGAAACCGGAGCCCACAACCGATACCCATATTATAAGACTAAAAGTTTCTTTTTGGAAATAGATAAAATCCAATTGTCTTCAACTATCTTTAAAGTATCGTAAAGCTTCTAAAATGACACATTTAACTGAAATAAAACCACTTAATCTTACCTTAACGTGTCTAAAGACTGTAGTTTACGAGTACCTAACATAAAGCTCACAAAACAGTTCTGTTTTCCTTCAAGAGCGCTATTCCCCAAACTGACATTTTTATATTCTGCTGACACCTTGTCGTGTGATACTGGCTCTACGACATAAACTGTAATACTGAAAAAAAAGCTTGTTTATACCTTTTCATCAGATCTACGCCTCGCTTCCGATAAATTTCAATTTCACATAATTTATTACAGTTTATATCGGATTATTTTATCATTTTTCATGTCTTAGTATATGTATAAAAAATAATATTTCATTTTTATATAATTTATTAGAGGTGTGACACTTTTGTTAAATTTTATAGTTATGAGTAGATACATGGGTAACATTAGTACCAATTTGTAATAATATTATGACAATTTGTTTCTTTTTTACGACTCCTTTTAGTATGCTCTGTCAATGTACTCCTTCCTAAAAGGCCGGCAACTCGTTTGTGACTCCTGAGTTGCAGACGTTCATGGGTGGCCATGGTCACTTTCCATCAGGTGACTCGTCTGCTCGTCTGCCCCCCTCTAACTTAACAAAAAAAAATTGTTGTGCCCGATTTAGATTCGTGCTCCTTTTTTCTATTTTTGAAAGAAATAAATCACAGCTCAAAGAAATAAATCGTTCAAAATACAGGTCTGTACATAGCTTTGATGGATGTCAGGTTTTTTAAATTATTATGTACCTACAAGAGAATTGTAATTTTCACACACAAAATGTGCTTCTGCAATTCTTTCGTACGAAAAATAAATGTTTTTATAATTATATATCAGAATAAAAAATCTTTAATTCGTCAGTACTATACGTACATACTTATTGTATTACAATTGTTTGACTTGGCTAGGCAAATCAAGCGGTTGGTCCGGATGTCTTAATACCATCTGTTCCCGGACCCCTCCTATCTCAGGCGCGGAGTGGCACACCGTGTGGTTTTAGTCGGTTCGATTTCCATATACCGCCCCGCCGCAAACCCCGGTGGGGTGACAGCCCGAAGGGGTTCCTATATTATAGCACTTTGAGAGCTACGGCCAGTCTTTTCTTCAGATACGGTGGTATGCTTTTGCTCGGCGGCATTTTTAAGTGTTTATGATAGACTCGGTACAAAATTTCTGCATATCATGTACTGTTTAAAGTTTAACGTGTATGCAACATGCAACGAGCCTTTATAAGAACAGAAAAGGAAACAAACTTTTCTTAAAGAGATATTAATTATTCGCTTGTTATGAGCTTGTTAATCGTAGTACCTAGTGATATTGAAATACGCATACCTTACTTCCGGCTTTTAGCTTATGAAATAGCAATTTGCCGCATGTCGTTCAAATAATTACATCTTATTCTTAGCCAGATAGACAAATTGGCAAGATTACATGTTGTTTTCATATTTACAATTCTCAGAGCACCTGATCAGAAATGTCACATTTTGTTGTTTTAATGCTTTATGTCCGTGTAATATAATCTTTGGAATCATTCCTCAGTATAGGTCGATTGTTGATTTGACAGGCCTGTGGGACTAGACTTTAGTGATCCTGACTGCTAAAATTAGAAGTCGTGGATTCTATACCCACCCAGGATAAATAATTTTGGGATAAGCACGATCATTTGTTTTATTTATTCCTGAGTTGCAGACGTTCATGGGTAGCAATAATACCTTTCCATCAGGTGACCCGTCTGCTAGTCTGCCGGCTCTAACATAAACAAAAAGAAACTTCGGCGGACTTAATGCCTAAGGCATTCGCTGCCAGTCGCCCGATTGGGCGATGCAGAGAAAGAATGAGGCAGGCAGGTGCACTTATGGGAAAGCAATAAATTATGATTTTTAATTCGAAAACCTTAATTCTAAAATTATACCGTTTAGACTTAATAGATAATCCTATTATACACAGATTACATAGCCATATCACGTGATAAGGCGGCTTGCAGCTGTCAATTCATATTGACGCGGATTATTGTGTCACGGCAATTTGCGTCGAGTCTCGCGTCCTTCAATTAGACGCAGACGCCATCTGCCGACGGAAATAACCGACAGGTAGCACCCGTGGTAACATTGAGATACTTTGGTATTAGTACGGATACAGATTTAATATATTACATCTAATCTAATACTAGAAGTATATAACACTTATTTAGTATTATCACCTCATCAACAGCGTTTAATAGTCCACTGCTGGACATAGGCCTGTCCTTAGAACCCTTCAGCAATTCTTACTGCCATGCTGGCGGGTGAGGAGGGTCTCTTTCTGTGAAGCTGTAATGCTCTGGGTAGCTGTAATGGAAGAGGGCCGTTCCCGAACGTAGATGACGTCGGCGACGATACCAGCCGTCGACGGGACCAGATAGTGGGGACCTCTGGTGGTAGATTGATTGCTGCGGTAGGGGATAGAATGGCAGCCTGATTGCATTAAGACGCAATCGGCCCGACCTGAAATAAAATGGTCCGGCTCCCCCCAGAATAAGATACCTGAGGTCGTCGGGGTAGAGGCCTGTCCTTAGAAAGAAGGTTGTGGCCTAATATACCACTCTTCCCAGACTGGTTTGTTTAGGGTTTCTTTCAAGTTTTTCTTCTCTTTGCAGTGCTGTTATCCTGCGTATTTTGCTCCCTTAGTCATCTTACTTTTAGTAACACCTTAATATTCACATACTCAGAAACATCGGTTTTAGATCGCGTTTTAGGAAAACCAAACAGTTGTACTATCGGATAATCATATTTTATAATCTTAACTATATCTAAAAGACTGGTTTAATATCATACATATCCGGATCCAAATTTCATATTGTAACAATTTGTACGTTTTTTTTGCCCCTTTGTTTCAAGAAAACAATATATTTTTTGACTGAGCCCTTGTCTTTATTACTGACAGTTATGAAGTTATTTCAAAAAGTACAAGAGCTTCCACAAATTATCCGATAGTAAAGAAACAATATCCATACTTATTATTATAATGTAAAAGTAAGTTTGTTTGTTTGTTTCGCTTTTACGCCTAAACTACTAAACTGATTTTGATATAAACTTCTTTTACTAATGGAAGGCCACATTATCAGCGAATAGCATAGGCTAATTTTTACCGCGATAACCGACATACACGCGCGCGTATATTTCTGCCATTCCAAAAATAACAATATCTTGGAACCAACAATACTCCAAACGTCTTAATAAGGCATCTTACAATCTACTTGAGATGGAGACGACTTGACCTTGTTAGAAGGAGTTCTTATCATTTCTGTAGCTAGCGTAAAATATCTAAATTTAGAACTTTGGATCATTCACTTTAACTCAATACGAATGTTCAAAGTCGAAATCTTAGCAAGAAATTTTCATTTTGTGCTTTTGAACTAGAGATGTAGTCTTTTCAATAAAACAGGATAAAAATAAAACAGGATAAATACCTATCGTACCATCTAAAAATAAATAACATTATTAAGAAAAGTATTTAAATTTTATTTTTCATAATTTATAACTACATTTTAAATAAAAAACAAAAAAGTAGAATATTAAAAAAAAATTAAAATTACATTTACTTATCGTAATTAAAAATAATTTTGATAAATATTTTTTTATTTGTTCAATAAATTTTACTCATTAACCTGTCAAACAGTGTACCTCTTTTGAAGTTGACTTTTAATAAAACATTTTCCTGTTTGTAAAATATCCTCTATATTACGTAACAGAGGAGTAATTAACATGATATGACAGGGAATAACATTTCAAGAGACGCGAGCAGCAATTAGGAAAGTAATTACAGAAGCGCCCAGATGTTCTTGGTTTATAAGACACTGTGCGCGTGACAGCGGGTGAACTTCAAATTTTAATGAAGGCTTTGAATCGAAGGCCCACATGTTCTACTTCAAACATTTACTGGTGTTACTCGTAGTTTTGCATTGGAAAGTTTTTGAATCTTGATTATGTCAATGACAACTTTAATTTGATTTTTTTATAAACGTTGAATTAACTTGTTATAATTGAAACAAAAGTAGAAATGAAAATATTTCCTTTTAAAGATATTTGAGAATGAAAAAATATTAAATAAAAATTTGTTTAGTGGTTTAGGCGTGAAAGCGTTACAAACAAACAAACTCACTTTCACATTTATAATATAATTATGGATTATCCAGGGTTATACTTAAAATGCGGTTTTCATATTCTTTAGTAAAGCAAGGAGAATATAAGGATGTTTTTATGGACATTGACTTGTTCTAATCATCTGTTATCGGGACATTTTCATTATCAACTTTAACGAAGTTGATTTCAACATTCATTATAGTCAAATATTCTAGTAGTGTAGTGATGGATTATGAATACGGAATGTCACTACCCCAATTCATCCCATGGGTGTCGTAAGAGCCGACTAAGGGTGCAAAACAGCGCAAGACACCAGCACTGCAAAAAGAAGGTAAACTTGACACCAGGCCAAAACCTCCTTTCTAAGGAGAGGCCTATGTTCAGCAGTGGACTATTAAAGGCTGTTGATGTGATGTGATTCTAAAAAACCATTCAAAATAACTGCCATAACTAAAAACTGACGTGTTTTTGAGCCCAAAGTCGCTGCATATACGACCGTACCTTATTCACTTCAGAGCGACAGAATTGTCGTATCGCCCTCAAGCACAACTATCCAGACTTATGCTGTAAGAGATTGTACAGTTCCCAACTATTGTTCACAAAGTTATAGCTGAATAACTATGACATCATTGGATATTAAATTGTCAAACTATTTCATAAAGCCAAAGATTGTTAGTATGATTAGGTTAATATTGTTTACCTACGATGTATAAAGTGGTTTGTTCGTAGTTTGGTTCTGAAGCGGCTCCGGTAATTAGTAAATACATATTTATATATAAAAGGCAGGCAATCCCTCAGATTGATTCACTGATATATCGATACATAGCTCCAACCGCTTGAACTTTTGGGCCAAAATTTGGCACATATAAATTACTATGTTGTAGGCCTGATGCCTGATTCAAATTTAGCCCTTAAAGGAGTAAAACAGGCGCTCAAAATCATTTGGAGATATCTTATAGAAGCGATGTGTTAATTAGATTTTTTTTACTGAATTAATCCTGTCAACAAATAAATAAATACGTATTTCGTGATGTTATAAAATAAACTCTTCACTTGGTGTAGAGGCAAGTAGAGAGGTTGGTCTAAGAATCAATAACGGCAACTGAAATATTTTGTTTATGGATTATAAACACTTACAACATAGGCATATTTAAATAACAAATATAAAATAATTACTTAACCGATCATAATAAAATTCAGCGTGAATATAGAAAGAAAGTATATCTTTCATTCAGAAAATACTACAGCTGACCAATGAATTCTTTGATAAATTAAATTTACCTACATTAAACCCAGCGAATCAACATACAACAGATTGAACTAATATAAAGGCCTATTTATACTAAAATTAATCAAAATGTACCAGACAACCAATAGAATCGAGTTTTAGTCATATTATACACAACTTGTACGTTTTAAATTTAGTCAAAATTCTAATGGTCCAAGGGATTACTTAAAAGTCACCGAAATAAATACAACTCTCTATTCTACAGTCACAACACCACACCACCAGTAAGTCGATATTATTTAGAAAAACCATGGACCGTCAAACACGAATTTTAATGATTATTTTGATTTTAAATAGTTTTTGATTACGCAAATTACTGTTTAATGTAAAATTAATATACAATATTTTTACAGGCTGCGGTAAATTGAATTTTGAGGCGTTCGTGAGGGTAGCCACGCATTTTTTAGATGAAGATGATGAAGCATTACAGAAAGAACTCAAAGAAGCCTTCAGACTTTACGACAGAGAAGGTAGGTCTTTAGAGAATTCTTAATACTTATTTGAAAAGGTTAACTTAATGAAGGAACATGATATTAACATTAAAAGTTTATACACAGAAGTGCAGGATTTTTAAACAATAGGTACATGTAACAAATGAATACAGCCAATTTAAACTAGTTATGAATACTTATACGATTCAAAACAAATCATACAACGAGCGAAGGTGCAAAGGTGCCCATGACACTAGCAGCATCGCCTCGTTGAATTGCAACGGACATATTTTGCACCATGAACGAGCCACAGCAGAGTCACCACCTCTATCAATAACTCTCTGCAATAAGTCTTCTAGGTTCTGACGTAACTAATTAAAATGGCCACTGTGAGCCGGGACATAAATCTACGCTTGCCTTGGCCTGTTAACCTGTCACGGTATGGAAAGCCTATCAATGATAGTCCAAATTATACTGGTAATGGATTGGTAAAAACCCTGAATTACGGTCTAATTTTGCACCCAAGGGAATAATAATGACAAACCTTAGAATTAAATTTACTGATAGGTGCTAATACTACCTTAGCATTAAATTGATAAAAGTGGACCAGTAGCGATGACGGGCCTGTTGGTCTAGTAGTTACCGATAATGACTGCTAAACCAGAGGTATAGAGTTCGATTCATAAAATATGAATATTTGCTTATAAATTCGATCATATCCGGATGTAATCAATTCTATGATTGGCTAACGCCATATGTAACAGGTATTGGCCTTCTTATGAACGAGAAATCACTTATGTGCGTCGTACGTATTAATAAATCTATTCTGACTCACACCAAACATTTTATTGTTCTATTTTCAAAATCACATTGAAATTATATAATAAAAGTTTGTACTGAACTTTTTATTGTTCTATTTTCAAATTGATACTGAAATAGAATAAAACATTTTAAGACCGATAACTGGACGAGTTAAAATTTATTGTATAGCATTTGCGGTGTCATGTAAAAATAAATGAATATCTTGACAAACAGAAACATTTTTTCGTAAACATTTATTGTTACTACTATTGAATACATAATGGACGTTTTTACAAATCTTACAAGATTAGCACGAGCTCAACAAAGTACACATATAACATTGATAAATGAAGCATCATACACGAATGTCCAATTGCTCAAAAAAATAAAAGAGTTTTTAAAATTTCGCTCTGGCAATAAAATATTGTAAAGGTTGACAAGAAAGCTCGTATTAATCATTACCGTCATAAACAAGTGCAGGAAATACAATTCATTTTTTTTTGCACATCACAGCAAAGGTCACATCATATATTGCTGATTTGACCTTCTTTTATACCTTACTTTTAAAAATGAATTCAAGAAACGGAAATACTTAATAAAACAAGCATTTTCAATCACTTAATATTTTTGTTCTTTAAGGTTAACAAAATTAGTCTTGACAAATATGTGAAATATGTGAAATATGTAACGGGAGAAAATTACGAGTAAGATAAATGATAATACGATTTTATTTTTTTAAGATTTTAGACTTTAATTAGAAGTAAAAAAAGAAATAGACACTCATGAAATGAAGAAAAAAAGCATGAATTCGAATGACCTAAATTTTGAAATTTTATTTAATAGACTAATATATACCTGCAACGATTTGTTAAACAAGTATGAGTCTGAACGATTATTAGGTAAGAGACCTCGCTGATATTATTTACATATATTTATCTAAAACAACGTCCGAAACAACGACAGTTTCCTTTTAATGTGGGTACAATGAAGATAAAATAAATAAACGCCATTCTAACCTCATTAAATATATACTAATAGAGTGAGGGATAATAAGCTTTATCTCTCTTAAACAATCTTCAGAGCCCAGGTTTAAACATAAAAGTATATAATATAGCAACAGAAGTACGAACAAATTTTATACTGATAATTTTCATGTGTACAAATATTTTACACCACCACCACCGTCCGTGTGGTGACGGATTAAGAATACGGAATGTCACCACCCCTATTCATTCCGTGGGTGTCGTAAGAGCCGACTAAGGGAGCAAACTACGCAGGACAGCAGCACTGTAAAGAGAAGGAAAACTTGAAACAAACCCTATATCAACCCGTCTGGCCAGCGTGGTATAGTAGGCCAAAACCTCCTTCATAAGGAGAGGCCTATGTCCAGCAGTGGACTGTTATAGGCTGTTGATGATGTTGATGTACAAATATTACCAAACCTGTCTTTTAGATGTTTTTCAAATATATTTTTTTATGTTAAAAGCCTAACACATGCTGCATTTAAAAGCTTTTTACTCAACGTCAAATGTCAATAGATGACATTATCATGAGTTTTTTACCACTGCCACTACACAGATAAATTTGTTGATAATTTCACAAAAAAATCGACTAAATTCATTTTATTAATTTATTCCAGTTTATCTAAATGGTTATTTGAAACGGAACCATAGATTTTACTTTGAAGTTACTTTTTAATTAGTGATAATAAAAATATTTCCGTTCGTAATACCATATGTGAAGAATAATGAATTGAATTAGAAATAAAAAAAAATTGGTTTGTGCCATTATTATTCCTTGGTGCATTACAATTAGACAAAATTTAAACTTTGGCCTTTTTTTAGATGACATGTTTATATTTTGATACTATTTATAATTTCTATAAATAAATAAAAAACAAATATCACATTAAATAATACTTATATATGTGTATATTATGTGAGTGGTTTTAATGAACTTCTTCATCATCTTCATCCTAGCATTAATCTCGATTGTGTCCTACTTATTTACTTAGTTTCAATAAACTTCTAGAGAAAAAGAACTCATAAATCAAAATTAAATCAAAAATAAAACTAAATAAAAAGTGTAAAAATATAAAAAGAAACAAATATTATTGAAATTAGATAGGGTCAAGATTCACTACTGATGATATTCTTCTACCGAATAGAAACCCAAGGTATAAATTGCTTCCGTACCCAACATATAATTAACGTAACACCACAACATAATTCCGAGTGTTTAAAAATTCAATTTATATCGTTCTCTACATGTTTCCAGTGATAATTGTTCGCAATAGCCGCGCGATCGATCCATTGGATGACGGCCAGCTCCTTACCACGGGTCGACGAAAGAAATACGGTGTGAAAACGTTAATAAATTCGGATAACTCGTGACATGTGTAAAAGATATAAAAATTTCAATTTACGACTTGAAACACTTTCGTTTGATGGTAAATTATGATGACTTTTATATAATAGTTGGGGTTTATACGTGAACTAATGTATGATGAAAATATTTGTTACTTTTTATTTTTTGTTCTCAGTTATTGTTTTAAAATAATAACTTAAAGATAGTTTGCCGTGGGAGGGTCATGGTTCGGAGCAAAAAAGCCGGATCGACCTGACACACCAGGGCCTTACAATAGAAAACCGGTGTTAAACAATTCTTTCTTTTGCTTTTCAGTCGTGATTTAATGTATTTGTTAATATGGTCACGAATATTCCCTAACCTGTAACCTTTTTTTTTCTTTTATTATTAAGGGGTTTTATCCTTTCGGATATGACAACCCCATTGTAAACCTGTAACCTGACAAATAAAGTTTATATTAAGTCAAGTAGTAATGTCAAGTAATTAAACAGTAAATACACCTGAATGTTTATCTTACACGAGCTTTATAAAAACCGAACTTAAACGAAAAAGCGTTTCTATGTTTGGTTGCATTAGCTGTTTGTCTCTTTGTTAACAAATAATTCAATAATTTTAAGTTCAAAATGAAAAAAATATAGGTACATAAGATTATTTAAAAATATAAAAATTACGAAGCTAAAGAATACAGCAATAAATAATTTTTAATACGCAGTATATCTTCCTCCGAGCCTTCCTTCCTTTTCCCAGACTAGGTTGGGGTCGCACCTGATGGTAAGCAACTACTGCGCCCATAAACACCTGCAACTCAAAAGTCACAAGTGCGTTGCTGCCCTTTTAGTCCCTCCCGCTCAAGTCAGCGAGAGGGGGGATTTGGGCTCCGGTAACCTCACTCACTCAATGAAAGGCAACGAAAGAATTGCTCAACACGGGTTTTCTGTGAGGCCGTGGTATCACTCCGGTCGAGCCGGCCCATTCGTGCCGAAGCATGGCTCTCCCACGGTAAATATTTAGTGAAAACTTTTATCGTTAATAATGAAACAGTGGTACAAAAATATTTTTTATTGAGCACCCACGCGTCACGCAAATTCTAATGTACGATTGCATTGTGACTTTGCAATAAAATTTATCCTGTATATTTTTGAAAGTCAACTTACTAGAAAACAGTATCAAAATAGTTTTGATTAACATACAGTTGTTTTTCACTATACCCAATTTTTTTTGTCTTTGCCAGAGATTTTGAAATCAATAATATTATTACGTTTGACTTATCTGTAGGTTACATTATGCACGAAAGGTTCACTTTTAAATTATTATTTTAAATACCGCATTTGCATGCATTTGCGTGCTTGTTTAGTGTTTTGGGTTAGCATCAACATTTTAAAACACAGACGCTACTACTAATGTAATACATATGTTTTTTCAAAACTGTTCCAGTTTTGTTTTGTTTTGTCAAGACGAGCTTATAATTTTTTATGTTTTTTACTATTTATATAATTTATATAAGTTTGTGAGTTTGTATGTTCGGGGTAATCTGATCTGATTTTGAAAATTCTTTTACTTTTTTAATGTTATTTTATCCCTGAGTGCTATTGACTACTTTTAAAGCGATAACCGATATACACCCGGGCGGAGCCGCGGGAGAAAACTAGTTTATGTTTTTTTTTTTTTATCTTATATATATTTTTTTAAGACATTACCCGCACTAGGAATAAATCCGGTGTCGCGGGGGACTTTACAAACATAAGGACAAACGGACACAAAGCACACCTAGATTCAGAACAACAATTTGTGGATCACACAAAGTGTCGTCCCATGTGGGGATCGGACCCACAGCACTCAGCGTAGTAGTGAGGGGCGTGGCGACCGCTTAAACCACTACGCCATCTGTGCAGTCAGTACGTATGTTATCCAAACAACATGTCTATGCAAAATCTTAAAATTTAGTTGCAAGATTCGATTCCATTACAAACATTGGATGTTGAATAAGAACTTGCAGAATAATATTGTGTTTATATGCAAATGGTAGTGGTAACTGGCTACGCTTGATCGAATGCAGACCGAAAATATTTTCGAACGTATTTCTTTTAATACAACTCTTTTAAGTGAATCGCGGAAACGCGACACATTCATTTGATCAGACGACGCATGCTATTGATTCAGTTGGTATATTTAGAGATTTAAATCACAAGTTTTATTGGAGAGCGTCTCGTTGTAACAAAATTTGCCGAGACGACTGTCTCATGATAATACGCTCAATTATTTCGTTTTCAATTCCGAATCATGAAAGCAAGGTGTTGTTTTATTTTTGCTAAGCAATCCTCAAACCATTAGACACTAGTGCCGAATCGCCGTGGAAGAATGGCCTCGGCAAGAATGGGTCGGCTTGCCCAGAGTACCACCACCACACACCACAAATACCACTCTGATGAGCAGTTTGTTCATCTCACCCAGGTCACCGGAGCCTAAAGTCATAAGAGGTCGTAGTCACTTATCACGGCTGCCGACGCCTGCATGGTATAGTGGTATGTGTACGAGACTGCTACGCCAAAGATCGCAGGTTCGATTCCTGCTCAAGTCAAACATTTGTGTGCATGAACATTCAATGTTTGATTTGTTCTGGGTGTTTCTATGTTTAATATGTATGTATTTGCAAAAAAAAAAGTATAAATGTATTTGTATCAGTTGTCTTGTACCCCTAATTCAAGCTCAGCTTAGTTTGGGACTAGATGGCGTTGTGTAAATGTGGTAAAAAACCCTCCTACAGCATAAAAAAAAGAAAAAAAGCGTTTCAAACTGATCCCCAAAGGTTAACTTTATATTAATAAGTGAAAAGAATGCTTTGTACCCTTCCTTTCAAAGCAAATTTTGCGGACGGTGGAATGTGAATTTTGGAATACTTGAAGCTTATATTTGTAGAAGCTGCAAAAAGTTGAATATTTTTAGTAAATATGTTTTTAAAATCGTGTGAAAATGATTTTAAAAAGTTTGCAGAGGTCCAAATTAATGTTGACTTGCCTAGATGCGGCAAGTCTGTATAAAAATCAAGTTGTACTAGTCATGTGGAACAAAAACATTTAAATTTAAACAATTAAACTTCAAAGAATTGACCTTGTTACGGTGCATTTTCAAGATGTAAACTGGAAAAACAAATGTTTATTTGAAAGTTGTTCAGAATTTCATTATGATTTACTTCGATTCCCACCCAGGATAACTAATTGTGCCATGAGCAAAATTTGTAGACACCGCGGTTCCTTCTAAGAAGGAATTTTTAAAAATTTGTTATTCTTAAAGGTGCAAAATGGGGTTTGTAAATTTATATGAAACAACGTTATTATTGATAGTATTGTTTTCAAACTTAATAATAAAACTTAAAATAAATTAAAAGCAATAAAAACGTTGGTACTAATTTATCTAACTACTCTTAAAAGTTTGTATGGGTTTTTTTTTAATTTATCGATTTTAAACTCTATATAATTACTACGATGTAATCGATGTAATCGATCGATGAAGTCGCAGCAAAAGCTAGTTCATCTATAATATACATGTATTTAGAAATTATATAAGTACGTTTATCTTTCGTCTGTTTATCATAGTACAGGTTTTGCCTAATTTAGGATGTGGAAGTGGTGACGGATTAAGAATACAGAGTCACCACCCCTATTCATTCCGTGGGTGTCATGAGAGGCGGCTACAGAATCAAACTACGCAGGTAACAGCACTGCAGAGAGAAGGAAAACTTGAAACAAACCCTATACCAACCCTTCTGGCCAGCGTGGTATAGTAGGCCAAAACCTCCTTTCTAAGGAGAGGCCTATGTCCAGCAGTGGACTGTTATAGGCTGTTGATGATGTTGATGTACAAATATTACCAAACCTGTCTTTTAGATGTTTTTCAAATATATTTTTTTATGTTAAAAGCCTAACACATGCTGCATTTAAAAGCTTTTACTCAACGTCAAATGTCAATAGATGACATTATCATGAGTTTTTTACCACTGCCACTACACAGATAAATTTGTTGACAATTTCACAAAAAAATCGACTAAATTCATTTTATTAATTTATTCCAGTTTATCTAAATGGTTATTTGAAACGGAACCATAGATTTTACTTTGAAGTTACTTTTTAATTAGTGATAATAAAAATATTTCCGTTCGTAATACCATATGTGAAGAATAATGAATTGAATTAGAAATAAAAAAAATTTGGTTTGTTCCATTATTATTCCTTGGTGCATTACAATTAGACAAAATTTAAACTTTGGCCTTTTTTTAGATGACATGTTTATATTTTGATACTATTTATAATTTCTATAAATAAATAAAAAACAAATATCACATTAAATAATACTTATATATGTGTATATTGTGTAGTGGACTAGTAAAGGCTGTTGATGAGGATAAAACGGTCCTGCGAGATATGTTAAATTATTTTTTACTCATATAAAATCTTAAAATAATAATATAAGATAAAATGAATTCTTGTTTTGAATGGTTTAAAAATATAAGCCAGGCAACACAAATATAAACATGGCAGTATTACAAAGAATTTAAACGGACTAAAATTAAAATCAGCTTTAAAATCGTTTTATCGTATAAAACTGTCACTGTACAGCTTTAAATAAGTAGCAATATTTGTAATATATACCGCTATTGTCCATTCCTACGATAATAATATCCCGATAACACATTTTTCACAAAAATAATAGTCTCGTACGATTTTCGTCAAGCTCTCTTACCCTGTCAACAAAAATGTTGACACAATAAACATGTCGATTTTAAACACTAAAATAAACTATAATTATAAATAAGTCACTGTTCCGTCGCCTACGTGACAGATCATCGTAAATTGCATTAAATCTACATCTTCAACCGTTTGTCAAACATTCGCAAGTGACTAATCTTGATACACAGATGTCAAAACAATATTTTTTTTCTGTGTGTTTTTGCGCCTCGTGTAGTCATGTCACGCAAATGACACCATACAAATTATTGGCTGTTTTAGTAAAAAAGAGTGTAATGTCGATGTTAATTTTACATCGTCCTTCAAGGGCTTTAAAGGTTTTAATTATTCGGGACATCAACGGCTAATTTAATTTATATAAATTAAGCCAAGGTTTTACTATTATACGGTATTACGGTATTAAGGTATTTACGGCCTGTTCCGTTATGACGGGCCTATTGGTGTGGTGGTTAGTGACCCTGACTGCTAAGCCGGAGGTTGTGGGTTCGATTTTACCCAGGACAAATATTGTGTGATAAGCACGGTTATTTATTCTGTGTCAGGGTCTAATTTATCTATAATATGTATGTATTTCCAAATGTATAAGTATGTTTATTCAGCAGTCTGGTTACCAGACTGGACCAGACGGCCGTGTCTAAGATGTGTAAGGTACATTTCACATTATTTATCAAATTTTATGTGTAATGTGGAGGAACGGATATCAGGTCCCTCCAACACAAAGGAAGAATCCTCCGATCAGGAGAAATGATCATGTCTAGCGGGCCGCGGTCCAACGGTTGATGTTGGGAAGTTATATATATGCTAATCGGTGTGAGAATTATTCATACCGCGATACAGGATTAGCACTTGCTACGTAATTCGATGTGTCTTTGTTAGAAGGCGCTGTAGTATATTATGTTTCGCCGTATTTGAAAGTACCACAAGTAACACAAATTTAGATCTCGCTGTTCTGATACATATATGTATATGCGGACTGCACAGATGGCGTAGTAGTTTAAGCGGTTGCTACGCCGCGTCCTACAACGCCGAGTGTTGTGGGTTCAAACCTACATGGGACGACACTTTGTGTGATTCACAAATTGTTGTTCTGAGTCTGGGTGTTCTTTGTGTCCGTTTCATATATGTTTCTAAAGTCCCCCGCGACAGGATATTTCCCTTATGCGGGAGTTTAAAAGAAAATATATATATATATATATGTGAATTATTTGTCGTCATTATTTGACCAATAAAACCCGCGTTATGACAAATTTAATTGCGCACCGCGGTGCTAGTATTGCCGGTCAGATGGTAGGTAAGGTAGTTAAACGCATATGCGAATACCATAAAGTTAAAACTACCAGCTAAGCTAAATGCTTGTGATGGAAGTGAGGTTTAAACCTAAAACTACGTAATCATAAGTCCCACGCCTTGACAATTTTACAACTTTTGTTTTTTAAATATATTTGAAATTTCATTTAAAATGGTTTCAGGTAATGGCTATATTCCCACCTCAAGTCTCAAAGAGATCCTGGCTGCATTAGATGAGCAGCTTACACCTGATCAAGTAGATGAAATGATCGCAGAAATTGACACAGATTCTTCGGGAACCGTTGACTTTGATGGTGCGTATATACCTGAACATATATATTTATTTTATTTTATTTTTAACTTTTTGCACAAGTACATGCATCGGCGGACTTAATGCCTAAGGCATTCTCTGCCAGTCGACCGATTGGGCGGTGCTGAGAAAGAATGAGGTAGGTGCATTTATGGTAGGGTATAAACGATAGTGGTTTTGTTAAATACCAACTATCTTGGAATTTGGTGTATACGTCGTAATACCACACACATACATATATATACACATACATACTCATAAATATATATATACATATACATATACACATATATATATATACATACACATACACATATGAGAAAAATAAAAAAAATAAAAAATTTAGCCGATGAACTAGGAGCTCGTTGAATCTGCCATTTCGCTCAGCAATAGCTCTTTCACTTTCGTCTTAAAAGAGTACCGATTTGTAGCCATCCTGACTTCGTGAGGAAGCGCATTCCATAAGAGGACAGCCTGGACAAAGAACGAAGAGCCGACAAACCCAGTGGTGTGAGAAGGACAGAGTAGAAGAAATTGTTGGCCGAACGAAGGTTTCTGTTGTGGTTGTTGCATAACAATTGAAATTGTGTTGTTAAATAAGTAGGAGGGGAAGGGGAATTGAGGATAGTGTACATAGTTGTGAGAGCGCGCATTTTCCTGCGTTGACGAATAGGTAACCATCTTAGCTGGGAACGAAAATCGGAGATATGGTCATACTTACGAAGATTAAAGATGAATCGAATGCAGTTATTGATGAGACGATCTAGCTTGTTGAGAAGATCTGCATTCAGGTCATAATAGCACACGTCACCGTAGTCGATTAAAGGGAAGATAAGAGATTGCACGAGCGCTGTCTTAGTTTTCACGGGAAGAAAATTTTTCAGGCGATATAATGTTCTAAGAATGCCGGTAACCCTCTGGCATACGTATGTGACTTGATCGCGCCAGTTCAGGGTGCAGTCGAGTTGTAAGCCTAGGTCTTTCACCGATCGACAAACAGGTATAGTGATACCATTAAAAATTATTTTGGGGAGCGTCTCAAAATTGACTCTGTTCATCGAACGCTGACTGCCAATTATTATTGCCTGACACTTTGTCGGGTTGACCGATAACCCAAACCTTTCAGACCAGTTTTTGATGGTTTTGAGATCTATGTTGATCTCGTCAATAGCTATTGGTATGTCATAGTATTGTTTTATGTATATAACACTATAATCAAATATGATAATAATACCCATTTCTTAATCAGGATTTAATTATGATCACTAATACTGTTAAATTATGTAGATATATGATTTTAAAATGAAAGTAATAATAATATTAATAGCAATGATAAATGATAGTACATTATAGAGAAATGAATATAAGTCAAATAAACATGCCTAAAGGAATAAAAAATAAATAGATAAAGGAAAAAATTCAAACCAAAAAAAAAACATATTGTTCTGCAATTTTACGGTTTTCCCAAATTGTATTACTTTGTGTAACCCCTACAAGCTGCAACTACTGCGGTTTCTTATACGAATTTTGAGAAGTTTTTCCTATTCCTATTCCCATTCCTATGAGAAGACTGTTGAAAACTCTCAGTTCGTCGAGATAAATCTATGACACGCATCGTTCGAGCTTGTCCCAAACAAGCTAGATCGGATTGAGCTTCGAGCTGTTTGCTAGTCATTCCATGCAAAACTAAAAACCAAAATATTTACCAAAACAAATGTAGCTGTTATGAATGATTTATTATAAAATAACATCAAAGGCGTATTTAAAAAACCGATAACGTTAAATATACCAATATTAATACTATGAGCTGATAATATAATATGGCATGAACAAAAAGTAAAAAAATACAAACCAAAAATATAAATTGACTGTGTTAATGAGATGAAAGAAAGCCAACATATTTGATATGAGTTAGCTAAGTCTTTTAGGATGTAAACACTAATAAAATATATCATCTCGCACATTTGAAACGTCTCAGTGACAAATAATTCGTTATAATGAGTCCATACTAAATACTTATGAAGTGTAAATAAAATACGAGTATGTTAGTATACGCCACGTTTATCTTTTAATTAAATCAGTCTAAAATTCCAACTGAATATTTCTAAAACGTTGAGTTAAAAAAAAAACAGTGAATTTAATTTCAAATAGATCTTAGTAGTACTCATTGAATGTTAACTAAAACACTAGATTTAAATACACATACAATTCAAGATAAAAGAAAGTATTAACACAAATTAAAGTTTTCAAAAAACTATAAACAAAGCTTTGACACTTGAGCAGAAATAATTTAAGAAATGTTCTCTTAATGTTGGGAACAAAAGCCTATGAGTACTCCTCTTAGTACCTACAAGATCTCCTGCAGTGCAAAGGAAAACGATGCTTATTTAAATTAAAATAAATTATTGTTTCAGAATTCATGGCGATGATGACTGGTGATTAGGGGATGAGTTGTTTATTGAGGCTTAATGTAACACTATTGTAATAAATTCATATTTTAGTAATATTGGAGTTTTATTTAAAACGCACTTATCTATATCTCACAGATGTTATAATAGGTAATAGCCAGGATCGAGTATAATATCGGATAAGTCAGTTGATTTACTACATCTTGACAGAAAACGGGTGTTAAGCAGTTCTTTCCTTACTTTTAACCCCCTCATACCCCCTGATTCTGTCGAAGGAGATTTAAAGGGCAGTGACTTGGATTTTAGGTGTCTAGGAGTGGTCCTAGTTACTTACTGTCAGGTGACCAGTCTTATTAGGTTAAATAATTCCCTGTTTTATTTGCCTCTCCAAGCATAGGTAGGAAATACGATATGCGGCCTCTGCCTCTTCCAGGTACCTAACCTTAGTCCCATTTCCAATTCGAAACTTGTCCTAACAACCTTTCCTTTTTTAACTCTTATTCTAAATTATATTAATTTTTTTGTCCTCCTGAAAACAATTCGATGTTCAAGGAGAATTTGTGATAGGCAGGCAGCTGGTCATAAGAAAATCAGTCAAAAGGATTTGAATTGCTACTTGAGCCAATCCCAAACAGAATAGAAAGAAAAGCAGAAAGATTATTACTATGTCTGCTCTGTCTCTAGAGACTGCAGAGTAATTTTTAATAACTTATATTATTCCTCCTTAAATACTCTATGCAATACGAAACGAATCATTCCAATCCGACTGATAGTTTCAGAGATATACGAAAGATTAAACCAATAAAAAAACTCTTAACCTTTATAATATTTAAAAATATAACATAAAAATTAAAATGCGAAGTAAGGTTTTAGAACATCCCACAATTAATAGTCATAATAATGCTTAGGTATACATTAATTCTTTTCCTTCCAAGTAGACAAAGGGATTTCAAAGGCAAAGAATAAAAAGAGGTCTTAATTAAAACATGAAACATCCAGCGTCAGCATTGCTCTTCAAAGAAATGTGAACTGCTTTGTGAGGGACCAGTAGAGGATTTAGGGTTGTAGCTACATATATTTTTTTATCTGTATTTATAATGGTCTGCATATCTGCGTATTCTCTTATAGAGCAAAATCGTATATGATCAAAGTAACAAAAAACTTTTAATAATACTAATAATTTCACACATGTCACACATGGTAGTCTGATTCCAAACTAGGCAAAGCCCGTGATAACCGGACCGCTGATAAACATACTTAAATATTTCCAAATATATTAAAATGTTTTCACTTTCTTGTTTATTCTTCTCTATAGTATCTACTTAAACTTTTAATTTTTCAAATTTCATGCTACACTATATCAGATATAATGTTATTATATCTAAGAAAGACCTAAGGTTTGGAATTATCGTCTGCGGTATTTCCGGACCGATACGACATTCAAACCTTCAAGAAAAGAGCGTACTCCTTCCTAAAAGGCCAGTTGCAGGGGTTCATTGTCGGCGGTAGTCACTTTCTATCAAGTGACCCTTCTACTCGTCTTACATAAAAAAAAAGTAAAATCTTAATCAATTTCAACTTCTGAAAATCAACAGTCAAAATGCTTCTATCCAAAATCACAAATACCTAACATGCAATTTTTGCTCTTATACTAATACAATAGTATAATGCCGTATTCTAAAAAGCATCATCATCATCATCATCATCAGCAGTGTATCGCAGTCCACTGCCGGACATAGGCCTCTCCCATTGCACGCCACTTAGATCGATTTTACTCAAAAAGCATCAGTTTCCCATTAGTTACATTATCGCACTTACAGAATGAGAGTGACCTAAATCAAAATGTATACATATAAAGAATTTTCCTTCTATTTTCATAGTATTGTTTCTTTTTTATCTAGCTAGCTCATAAAAGAATCATAAGTTGGACACGTGTTTATAAATGTACGCTAGTGTTTGTGTTAACTAAACATTAATATATTATAAGCAGATTGTGTTTTTTTTGAGCTTAAATTGTGTACCAACTTAAGGGACAATGATTTAGTTTTTAATACATTATATACATACCTTTTGCCCCAAGTCACGGCACAAATTTATTACAAAGGTCTAAAGGCTTTTAACGTTACATTTACTCGACACTAAAAAGCATCTACAAAGGTTCTAATATTGGTGAAGGTTGAAAAAGAGGGCATTGCTTAGGGCGCTACTGGCTGGGCACTAGTGTACATATTTACCTTTTACAGCCCTACGTTAAGGGCAAGTAATTACGCAACGTCAGGAGTACCTCACGAGTTGCAAGCACATACGTATTTTTAGAGTGATATCTTTGCCCAGTGTTCAGCTACTCTGTTTAAAAAGGTTTCGAAAGGCCTCTAACTTTCATCACAATATTGTTTTAAGATTTTTTAGGATTTCGTAAAATAACATTGCTAAAATAATATGTGTAAGTGCTAATGAATGCTTAAGATTGAGATTACTAAATCCCGCTTTAAACAACGCATATAAAAGTTTTGAATACAAGTCCAATGAGTCCCAAAGCTGAGACCCAATTCCACAACCTACTCTATCTGATTTTACTTAATTGCAATAGTTCGTGTCGCCTCGCCCGGAATTTCACACTTCGGGATTAGAAGTAGGTTTATAGGTCACAGGACCTCTGTGAAAACGTTTGAGAAATACTAAACTTATTCTTGCTCAGATTACATTGTGTAACAATGACTATTTTGTTATCATGTTTTTTTCAATTCTACATATTTATTTAGAATTTGTTTAATTAGCATTTGTTAATAAAATCATAACCATACTATTGTAACACGAATGGCGTATTTGACAATGACATAGCGTAACAAAAATGTCGTCATCGTTATTTCAGATGTAGGACATATATTAGCGATTAACGCTAAGAAACCTTTTTAGAAAAATCATCCATCTATCGTCAACCTGCGATTTTAATGAGATCTTCATAATTTTTGTAGCTATAGTGAATCGAAACAACTAGAAACTTGTAATTCGTGTATAAATAAAAGTAAGTAATAAGTAAGTAAAAGTATTATGGATCTGAGAAATACCTTTACCGTTTGAAGAAAAAATTGTATTAAGATAAGCTTAGTCTTTTTAAATTTATCAATAATAAAATAGTGTCTTTGTGTGCGTCTTCGTTCTGACTATAACTTCGATCGAAACCAGAAGATAAATATTTGCATTTAAAATAATCAGTCTCTAGCTTGAAAATATAATTTACTAAAAAGATATATACTTACCTGTACCTCTATTTTTAGAACCAACGACTGCACAGATGGCGTAGTGGTTTAAGCGGTTGCCACGCCGCTCACTACTACGCTGAGTGCTTTGGGTCCGATCCCCACATGGGACACTTTGTGTGATTGTCAATTTCTTGTTCTGAGTCTGTATGTTCTTTGTGTTTGTTTCATGTATGCTTGTAAAGTCCCCCGTGACACAAGATTTATTCCTAGTGCGGGAGTTGTCTTTTTTTTAAAAGAAAAAAAAAACAAACGATCACAACTCTGGTATGTTTGGGTATTGCAATCTACAATTTTTATTATTTTCATTAAAGACTGATCGTGAAATTCAATTTTGGGACCAAACGTCTTATCGAAATGTCCCTATTCCAAAGGTATCGTTTCTTAAAATTATTGACACCTGCGTCCCGATATTAAGATTCTTACACACTTTTAGCGTTTAAATAAATTTGGAAGTCTTTAAGAATAAAGAAGATCTAATAGCAAATGAATAGATAGTGTTAAATGTGGGTAGAAGTGGTGTTGGTGCAAAGATGATTACTAAAACAAGAATTTTGAGTAAAAAATATAGTGCGTCAATTTTATAAATATGAATAAAGGCGAGAAAATGAAATTATTAATCTATGGTACTATGGTTTATGTTTATAATCTATGGTTTATATGTCAAAACATCGAGCAGTTGAAACGCGCAGTAGTTATTTATAACCTAGGTATATTGTTGTATGTTAGAAGGGTATTATTTATATTGAAAAAAAAAAACTTTAATTTAAAAAATAATAATAATGGATAATTTAATTGACTGCCTCGGTGGTTCAGTGGTAGCGCATGCGACTGCTGTGCTGAGGTCACGGGTTCAATTCAAGGGTCGGATCAAATGTTGCAAAAATTTGTTTCGGAGTTAGGGTATTTTCTATGTATTTACAAAAAAAAAACATATATAAGTATCCGTCAATCTAGCTGTCATAGTACAAACTCTGCTTAGTTTATATGTCCGAAACCTCTTAAATACTGTTTCCCTCAAAATCTAACCACTATTATACGAAACCTTTTCAAACAGTACTTCTGCTTATTGCTCTTTCGTCGGCAAAAGCTTTTGACTAATCCCTTTTAATGAAAGTTACCAAGGGTTTAAAAAGTCACTTCGTGCCTCAATACCCAACACAGCTATTATAATGCCTGTTCCGTGTATTGTACTATATTTATTTAATTAAATATTTTATTCAGTATCACACCAGACAAAAGGTTTCCTTATTTTTGCCTGTATCTTTAGTTATAAATACGACCCCTTGGTATCATATCTATAACAATATTGACGTTGGACAGGTTTGTTAATTGAACTTTGTACTGAACCAATATCACGAAAAGCAAAACGGTAAATTTTGACAGTAACCCGTTTGCGTACTTTTAATGGTGCAAATAAAATAAATAAAGAGAATATTTCCGTAAAATTTATTACTGCTTTTTACAATAATATACTTTAAGGCTATATGTTAAAAGGTGATAAAAATAACATATTTTAAAATTACGATGAACATGTCATCGTAACGTCGTCGTCATTCAAAACAAAAAAATTGACAAACTTACTTTCAACAGTATTTTTTGTATATTCGTTCGTTTACAAAGATCACTCTCGTGGTACGAATGGTTCCTGTGTCGCAGGGACCTAACAACTATTTTTACACAAATACAAACAAATCCCCACACTAGGTACAACTATTTTTGGAACTCATAAATATTTCGTCCGTGTGGGAATCGAACCCACAACGTGAATTAGC